CATGCATGACAAACTGGGTGGGAGCTTTAGAGTCTAGCAGTGAATGTGCTAATGTCAGTTCATTGGGAGGGTGACAAGTTTTCTCCTCATTAAGAGGTATGGGAAAGAATCCGTCTCGATTGAGTCGACTAGAGGACGAGATGTGGAAGTTTTGCGCCCCGAAGAAACTTCCATTTTCGTCGTATTGGTAAAAATGGTGCAACAATGGCCTATCAGGACCTGTTAGAACTTTTCTTCCATTAAAGTCATTCACCTGGGAATTGGGTCTCAGACCACCTGTAGTGCAGCATTGATGACAATAATACGAGTGATTTGATGAAAACAACTGGCTTGAATGGGAAAGTAAGCTACTGCTCGACTGCTAATCATTTCCTATCCCCATCAAATGCTCCTGATTACATTTTTTGATGATCTCCTGGTTTCAAGATGGCTGCCATCTGCATTCGCTTCTCCAAAATATCTAATCTTGTATCGATTTAAAAATAAAATAAATATTTATTCGGATTTCGAGTTCAGTTATTGAGGGAACAAGAAAGTTGGGATTTGCATGGACACCTACTCGAGTTCGCAAGTGACCTGTCGAATGGCCACCGTGTAGCAAATTGCCTATATATCACTTTCATGTATATAATGGAAAGTAATGGCTGCACGGTGGGGGTCACGTTTGACGACGTGACGAATGAATACGGAGTGCCATGGCCTAAAAAGGAGACCGGAACAGGGAAACCAATGACTCGGGGATAAACGCCGGAAGCCGACTCCCACATGCGGTCGTGAGTCATGCGGCTTGGCCTCTCTTCGCCCACGGGGCGAAGAGAGGCCATGACGCGATCGCAGGGAGTCCGATTTTCGGGCGTCTCGATCGGCAGCGAGAGTAAATAAAGTATGCGTGCTGCTGGGTCGGCCGATGTAGGCCGGCAGTCGATCACCTGACCAGGAGGGACGGTTGGGGCGCGTCGCCCATACCTATCACTCACGGCTGCTGGCAAAGATGACACTTAACGTTCGTGGAATATACCAATAAATTGAAATCGTTCGTGACTGCTCTCGCCCACATTAACCCCTTTAGTTTGCTTTCGTGTTCCGTCGTTACTCTGGTGTCGCGCACGGGATCGTCGATGGGGGGAAATAAACAATGTATATATGTATTGTCATTTCCGAGTGAATCGTACCGCCTTTGAGAATGACTTGGTATTTCATGGAAGGAATCCCCAACTCTGCTCGTACGCCGTGCGGATGCCCGAGCGCGAAGGACATCTCTCGACGGCGACGCCCGGCATCGCTTCTCCTCCCTGCCGACAGATGTCCCCGGCGTCGTCACTCGCTCGATGTCGATGGGCCACCGGGCCTGCCACGTGCTCTCCGCCTCTCGACAGCCTTCCCCGAGGATCGCTCCAATTATGTGTCAGGTGGAAAGGGGACTGCCGTTCATTTTTTATGCCTCTCATCGACGTCAACGTCATCATTTCGGAGATGTTTATCGAGGGTCGTTCCGCATGTACGGACGCCTTCCGTCGTTCTGTTGCGCATTTATCTTCCTTATCGGTGCCTTCGAAGGTCGACGGGGTTTCGGATCGCACCGTTCTTTGTCTCCGGTTGGGTTCGTATCTTTCGAGTGCAATTACTCATGCTGCACTTTTCGGTTCGGAGAATTCGGCAGACGACTTTGCGGAGAAGGTGCAGCACGACTTTTAAAATTCATTTTTGTCACTTGACGTATGATTTATTTAAAAAATCTGCTACATCCGATGGGTGGATCCGGCGAGACCCTCTACCGGTGGTTTCGGAAGGCAGGCATACGAGGAAACGGGCGAAATGATTCAGGTGCCACATTCCCGGGCGCGTTGCCAGGCTCTTTCTTCTTCGATCGCGAAGAGCTCATTAAATAAACAGGTTATGAAAGAAAGGAAATATGTATGTATGAGAAATAATAAGTGAAGCTCGTTAGTCTCGGACGAACGCTCAAGGACGTGGAGCAAAATCAGTCAGAATTTTCACGTGTTTGCTCGTGACGAATTAGGGAGTTCCGAGTGCCGTTTATCTTTTTTTTTTGTAAACCATTCCAGTGCTGAATTTTTAATGCCGAGACGGACGCAGACGCCACGTCCTTCACAGCTGGGGACGGCCGAAGAGGGCGGTCGAGGGCGGGTCGACCTTGCATTCCTCTGATGTCGGACTCGGACTTTATCGTGCTGATAAGGGGTGATGGCCCAGATCTCTGGTTTGGTATCTGGGGACGCTCTGGAGTGTCGCAAGCGGGGCATTGCCGTTTTTTTTTTCATTTTAATTATTTGTACCGGATTAACTTTTATTTTTGGATTCGTACCGGGCGGGAGCGAGATATCAACTTTTTTTTTTCATTCCGGAAGAGATCGTTATATCTGCGGGATTTTCCCAGTCTCTCTATCGCCCCGGTGGGAAGTTAACGAAGGAACGGCTCTCGCAAAAGGGAAAGGTTCGTGGAGGATGTTCTGAAGTGCATTTTGAATAGCGTGATTCGCGATTATTTCAAATCGCTCCGCCTGGAATTATTTTTCTTGCTACGCACTCGAGAAAAAATATGAATAATATTAAAAGATAAGTCGATCGTCGATGCTTGTTATTTATCTCTCATCGTGCGGAGCTGATACCGAAACGGTGCGCTTTGAGTACGGTCTTGCGGGATCGCTTTCAAAATTCCTCTCGATGTATGATAAAATTGTGCCGGAAAAGGAGTGTGAGATTTCGTGGCACCCTTTTTCGTCGTATCGTCGCTGACGTCAGCCGGATATTGCATCGCTCCATCGTCTCATATGCGGGACCCGGATCGCGTGAAGACGACGGTTGGGGTTCTTGGGTTTTTTACGGGGGCGTTTTCCGTGTCGGGAGGAAGAAACCCGACGGTTTTTGCGTCGTTTCGTTCGTTTTAATCGCGGAGGGGGGGGGGGGGGGGGGGGGGGGGGGAGGGTGGGGGGGGGGGGGGGGGGGGGGGGGGGGGGGAACGAGACGAGTGATTTAGCAAGTTTCGTCGGTCGTTGGGCTCTCGGGCGTTGGCGGTTTTTCGCCCGGTTTGTCGGCGGTTTCATCGGGGACTTGGAGTGCGTTGGGATTCAGGAGCGAATGAGTTTCGATCGTGGTTGAAGGATGACGATGGTCGTAAGGGTTCTCCGATGCTCCCGGACGAGCAACAGGACGTCCGTAAGACATCCCGTATGGATTCCGCGTGGGACGGAATGACATCCCGTGGATGTCCCCGTGAAGTCCTCCATGCGCCGAATCCCTCGGATGTCCGGGGGATGTCCGTTGTGGGACGCGGGTGCCAGGATCTCTCGGGGGACGTCCTTGGGATCGTCCCTGGCTACTTGGGTCCGGATCGAGATTACATGGGAAAAATTGTCTTACTTTTTGTCGCCATCTAGGGGATATGTACGAGCCAGGGGACGTATGTCCCTTTTGTCGTATATAATTATGCTAGCAGAACTCTCATCGAGGAAGAAAGAAAAAAGACGCGAGTCTGTGGCTTTTGCGCCTCGCTTCTTCGTGCATTCGGTCGGCCGAGCCCGTTTTTTTCGACCGAGTGGGTCGGACGACGCGTGGATCGAGGGAGAATGAAGCAAGGATGAATGGCGAAGGGCGAGAGGCGAATGCGAGACGAGATCGGGAAGGAACCGAAAGAAAAGCGCCAAGAAACTATAGGCCTAACGTTAGAAATAAGTCCAGACGGGTCGAGCCTCGACGGATGGAGGCGACACGTATGGCACACCCGACCGCAAGCCGGATGGCGCGACTCGACTTCCGACCGAAACGGTCCTAGGCCTAGGAAACCACGAAGGACAACGCGCCACAGAGAGAAAACGAAACCGGCCCCTCGCAACGAAAATAGACACCAGATTTAGGGCGAACCGGAGCGCGAACGCCGAAAACAGGAACGGACGCCCCCACGCAGAAGGCTCCGACCTCACCGACACCGACTCGGAATGACTGGGAAAGCGAGCTGGAGCCCCAGCCCAGGCGTCCTCGGAACGGCCCTACGAATGAGGATGGAGGACGCTGGCGGGACGAGGGGGAAGCGATCCCCACTGCGCCTGCCTATCTCCCCCCCCCCCTCCACCTCCCCATCCCGTCCGCCTCCGTCTCTCCCCTGGGTAAACTGGAAATTAAAAAACAAATGATAGAGAAAGAGCTTCCTGTGTTAATGTTAGAGATAATAAAAAATGGCAACAACTGGCTTTTCCCGATCAGTTCTTAAAATGAGTGACCTCGACGCGCATTCTGCAAGCTTTGCATTTTGCGGGGTGAATCGAAAGGGAAAGAGGATTCGAGCCCGTTCGATCGAGAAGTCGATCTTCGATCGACGGAAGGAAAATAATGGAAATCCGCTCGACGAGGTCGACATGCTAAGCACGCGAGTTACGCCGAGGGAGGAGAGGCGTCGAGTGGACCCATTTCACCCGTCACTTTCGTGGCAGGCGAAGAGAATCCCACTTTCTTCCCCCTTCTTGACACACGTTAAGATGCAGGGCCTCACGTGGTCTAATGGACCAGATCGACCGGGGAGGCATTCAAGGCCACTTTCTCCGCTCGTCTGCTTTTCCCGGAAGGGAAAATGCGGCTTCGAAAGAAACCCTTCGCGTGTGACCACTTTCCTCGCGATGTTTCTCGTTCCCGATCGAGGATCTCGGGTGGTGATTTCTGGAGAAAAGGTTGTGGCAAGGGCGACAGGAAACGTGCTCGAGCGCGAAGCCCATCATCCGGCTCGAAGGTCCACCCCCACTCTCGGGGGGGATTATTATTCCCGGCAGGTCCCCGCCTTTGTCGTCGCCCTATTGTCGTTCCGTGTTCGTCGGGGTCGGGATGCTCCCCGATCGTATCGGGTCCGAAGTGGCACATTTAACCTTTATCTCCGCTTGCCTTCCAGAGCAGACGAACGCCATAGGTCGGTCGACAGTGAGCGTCGATGCGCGAGTGCAAACGGTACGCGCGAGACATGAAGTGAGTCGAGATAATAATGAGACGGGAGGATGACGGCCACGGGACAGAAGACCAAGGCGAGTCGGGGAGAGAGGAAGACCTCGAGGGAGGAATGGGTGAAAAACGGGGAGGAGGAGTTGGAGGTGGAGGGATACGTGAGGAACCGGGCACGCACTGTTCTCGCCTGGGCCCTCATCGTCTGCACGGGGGGGCTGCTGAGACTGGTGATGCATTGGTTGCCGCAGTGGTGGCTCAGGTGCACCCACGTTCGCGTGCCGCTGGCGGAGGCGAGGAAGGTTCTCTTGATCCAGCGGTACAAGAACCACGTTACGTATCACACTAAGGAGGTTCACGAGGTACAGACTTCCGTCGATGCGGTCCCGCGATCCGACGGCTCGTTCTTCGCCGCGAAGAACGAGCCGTCGGGTGACGGCATGGTCGCGACGGTGACGGTGAGGACGTTCCAGTGCAAGAAGGTGAATTACGTGTGGGCCGAGGACGAGAAGAGGTTCTACCAACTCCCGTGCCTCGACGAGAACGCCTGTCTGTCGAACTTGCGCGAGGGCGAGAAGGGATTGACGAAGAAGCAAGCCGAAGACAGGGGGAAAATATACGGACCGAACGAGATCCAAGTCCCCGTCCATTCCATCCTCCATCTCTTGGTCCACGAGGCTCTGAATCCCTTCTACATCTTCCAGGCCTTTGCCGTGTGCCTCTGGTTCGTGGACGAATACATCTATTACGCCACGGCCATCATCTTGATGTCCGCGTGGGGCCTGTTTTCGGCCGTGTACCAGACGAGACAGAACCAGAGGGCTCTGCGCCGGACGGTGCAAGCGAACGACGTGATCGAGGTGCATCGAGGTGCGTGGGAGATGGTCTCCACGACCGCCTTGGTCCCCGGGGACGTGGTGTCCATCCCGTCGCACGGCTGCCTCCTTCACTTCGATGCCATTCTGCTAACGGGGTCGTGTCTCTTGAACGAGAGCATGCTCACGGGAGAGAGCGTGCCCGTCAACAAGACGCCTCTGGACGAGGATCATTCGGAGAAGAGATTCGACAGGAAGGAGCACTCGCGTCACATGCTTTTTGCGGGGACTCAGGTGATCCAGACCCGATTTTACGAAGGGGAGAAGGTGAAGGCCTTGGTCGTGGGGACGGGCTTTCACACTCAGAAGGGCTTCCTCATCCGATCCATCCTCTATCCGAACCCCGTGGACTTTAAGTTTCAGACCGACGCTTATCGGTTCATTTTATGCCTGGCCGGGATCTCGGGGATCGGTTTCATATACACGATCGTGACGAAGGGCCGACGAGGGCTGCCGGCGGGGGAGATCGCCGTGGACGGCCTTGACCTGTTCACCATCGTCGTGCCGCCGGCGCTGCCGGCTGCCATGACCGTGGGGATCGTCTTGGCCTCCATGAGACTCAAGAAGCGGCAGGTCTTTTGCATCAGCCCGAGGGCGATCAACATCAGCGGACGATTGGATTGCATCTGCTTCGATAAGACGGGGACGCTGACGGAGGACGGGCTGGACGTGAAGGGAGTCTCGCCGGCCCCGGATTTCCCGTTGCTCCACGACCGGTCTCAGATGGAGTCGAAAGACGGGCGCGAGTCGGTGGAGGAGGATATGATCCGTTGCATGACGTGTTGTCACGGGCTCACGCGGGTCGAAGGGGAATTGGTCGGGGATCCCCTGGATCTCAGGATGTTTCAATGGACGGGTTGGGAGTTCCACGAGCCGGACATCGCGGAGACGGCCAAGTACGACTTGATCATGCCGGCAGTGGTGAAACCACCGAAGGAGAAGGGGAAGGAGACGGAGTGGGGGATCCTCAAAACCTTTCCCTTCTCGTCCAAGAGGCAGAGGATGAGCGTGATCGCGAAGGAGGTCCACGGGGGGGATTTCGTCGTGTTCTGCAAGGGGGCGCCGGAGACGATCGCGAGTCTGTGCGAGCCGGAGTCGATTCCGCAGGGATTCCACACGAGGTTGTACGATTTCACGAAGGAGGGGTACCGGGTGATCGCGCTGGCGATGGCGACGTTGCACGGGGTCCGGTACCCGAAGGTCCAGCGACTGAAGCGGGAGGAGGTGGAGGTGAACCTCAGATTCTTGGGCCTCTTGATCCTGGAGAACCGGCTGAAGGGAGCGACGAAGGAGGCGTTGAACTTGCTCATCGATGCGAGGATCCGGGTCCTCATGGTCACGGGGGACAATCTCCTGACGGCCATCAGCGTCGCCAGGGATTGTCAGATGGTGGGAACGAACGAGGACGTCCTGGTCGTGAAAGCGGATCGGAATCCCGTGTCCGGACTCCTGGAGTTGGATTATTCGCTCGTCGAGGGTCGACCCGAACCCGAAGAACCGCAGTCTCCGTCGTCGTCTGGAAGCGGAGGGAGATCGGGCATGGTCTCGGTGCCGATCGATTCCGGGTCCCGGTATCATTTCGCGATGGATGGAACGTCGTTTGGACTCCTGGTCGAGGCGAACCATCCGGCGTTGAGGCATCTGCTCACGAGGGGCACCGTCTTCGCTCGGATGAGTCCGGAGAACAAGCAGCAGTTGGTGGTGGCACTGCAGGGGCTGGGCTACCACGTCGGGATGTGCGGGGACGGGGCCAACGACTGCGGGGCGCTGGGAGCGGCTCACACGGGGATCTCCCTGTCGGAGGCGGAGGCCTCCGTCGCCTCTCCCTTCACGTCCAAGACCAACGACATCTCGTGCGTGCCGACTCTGATCCGCGAGGGGCGAGCGGCGCTCGTCACCTCCTTCGGGATATTCAAGTACATGGCCGGGTACAGTCTCACGCAGTTCATATCCGTCATCATACTCTATTCCATCGACAGCAGTCTCACGGACTTCCAGTTCCTCTACATCGATCTCCTGCTGATCACGGTGTTCGCCGCGCTGTTCGGCTTCACCGAAGCATACCGAGGCCCCATATCCAAGATGCCTCCTCCGGCCGCCTTGGCTTCCGTCCCTCCGATACTTTCCATCCTCCTCCAGATCTTCCTCGTCGTCGCCGCCCAAGCTCTCTTCTTCTTCCACGTGCAGACGCAGGACTGGTTCGTGCCCTTCGTCCTGGACGACACTCTGCAGAACAAGGCCTGCCACCAGAACTACGTCGTCTTCTCCATCTCCATGTTCCAGTACGTGATCCTCGTCGTGGTTTACAGCCGCGGGAAGCCGTACCGACGCCCCCTGTTCACGAACCTGTGGCTGTCGGCCGCCCTACTCCTAATGACCGTCTTCAGCGTCGTCATGACCGTCTACCCTCCGCACTTCCTCGCAGAGCTGCTGGAACTGGACGTGGTCCCGGACCACAGCTACCGATGGTTCATCGTCGGCATGGCGTCCGCCCAGCTCCTCCTCGCCCTGGCCGTGGAGTACCTGGTCGTGGATTACCTGCTCACCCTCCGATGCCTCCCCCTCGTGCACAACCTGGAGAAATGCAAGCGGCAGTTCCTGCAGATCGAGAGGGAGCTCGCTTCCTCCCCGTCCGCTCAGGTCTTGGAGGCGTGGGCCAGCAGCTCGCGGTTGTGATGGGAGGCCCGCTCCTCCCACCGTTCGCTTTTATTTCCATAACATTACGAAGGAAAGGACCAAATACATGACTTATATTTCTGCATACCTCCTGTGTTATTTATCTCGATGAAAGAGGGAGGAGGGGAGGGGGGCGAGATCTATTGCTCCCCCTTTTGACCTATTTGAACCGGCAGCTCGGATGGAAGCCGGTTCATGTTTTCATCTCGTAATGCACGGTACTGAAAGAGTACACGCTGAGTAAATTCGCGTGGAATCATAACCGAATTTCGCACCCGTGCAGATGTGCTACGGGAAGATCGTAGTTTATTACATAAATAATTATATTTCGGCCCCGTAGCACCATTATTATTTAGTCTGAGATTTTGATTCCGATAAGAAAAATTTCTTTTGAATCCTGGACTCTCGAAGCGTTTCTGACGTCAGTCGAAAACCGTACACAGCGACTGTATAGTCTGGGGGAAAGCGTTTTTTTCCCGTCGGCCTGTGCCGATATGCAACACGAGGCAGCATCGATGTGCGGGGAAGGCGTGTGTGCTTTTCGAAAACCATCGCGCAACGTGGAGTCGACGGATATGTACATACACGATCGAGTGTGCCTGGCTTCCCGGGCGACAGCTGCGTTTCCCGGTCGCTAAAGTTTTTTTTTCCCCCATCGTTCAATTCGTGCGCTGGTTCTGTTGGAAGCAGTTAAGTGTGAAGGGCATCCCCGTGGCATAAAGGGCATCCCCGTCCTTCGTCTCTCACCTTCCACCTTTGCCACGCGCGTGACGTCGCTCGGCGTGGCTTGCATGTCGATTGCGTTTTAAGAGACCGGCAACCTGCCTACTGCATAAATAGTTCGGGTGCGTTTTATTCTTTTTTTTTTTAGATATTCCCGTTAGATATGAGGGGAACGGAGGAAAAACATTTTGCGTCGTATTCCTTAGGGTCTTTCTGGGAATTTCGCGAAAATCGATCTGCTCCGGTTAATGACGGGTGTGGTTCCTGGGGTATCGGGATTCCTGCAACCGGTTACGATGCGTACGGCGTGATTGCATTACAAATGAAGAAGCCATTTATCGGTGGTTGGATCGGGCAGGGTATTTTTTCCCAGGATTCGTCTGATTGGTTCGTCTGAGTCAGAGGTGGATTTTCCCATCATGAATATCCAGTCATGCTTCTTTGAGACGGGGACGCTGTGTGCAACCTAGATGATTCTCCCCTTCCCCCCCTCCTGCCTTACACGAAAGCAGTCTCCATGCCGTTTACAAAGGTCTTTTGTAACGACTAAAAGTGTAGAATGAGTGGATGGTTTGGACGAGGGGGATCCCCGGTCCGGTCACGATGCAGGGGCTTTAATCGAGGAGCGATCGAGAGTCGAGGGTCGGTCGTCGTGCTCTCCGGGTGGCCCATCGACGGATCCCGTGTCCATTTGTCCCTGTTACGCGAGTGCCCCCGGGGGGGGAAGGGTGGAACGACCCGGACGATGGGCAAGGGTGGACTGCGTGGTTCGAGGCTCGGTCGCGAGGGGCGCGGCGTTCGGGCCGTTCCGCGAGGGTGAGTCGCCCGGGGGAGGAATGGGGGAGGGAGGCGTTTGGTCGTTCGTATGTCGTTGGCGATGTGCCGTGAGGGAATTTTTGACACCTTTTTGGGGGGGGTCGGAGAGTGGCGATCGAGGCGAGGGACGATCGCGTTGCACCGGGGAGCCGATGCCCGTTTCGGACGAGGCGATTTTCCCGCGATTCTCGATGGAAGCCACAAAAATTGAAGCGTGTGAAACGGGGAAAGGGAGACGAGGAAGCAAAAAGTTGCCGGGTGTGAAACGGCTTAGCGATTCCCAGCTCTTCGCTTTCTCGCTCGGCCTCTAGACGGTTTTTTTATTTTATTTATTTATTTAAATTTTTATTTGAAAAAAGGACAGACATGCGCCGGACGGTCGAGATTGCAGTACCTGGGGCAGAGACGCCCGAATGCGGTCCTCGGGGTTCCCCGCACTCCTTGCCTAATCCCATGAGGCAATCCCACCCGGCAATCTCGTGTGGCAATCCCATTCGGCGATTCCATCCACTGCCACGAGTGGCTTTTAACCTACACTTCACCCGTATCACTTTGACGCGGCCCACCGCCTCCCGGACCCGATCCCGAGCCTCCCGGATCAAATTCGGCCGTCTTTCCTCTTTCCCCGTCTTTTTTTCTCTTCGTTCGGAGTAAAGGAGAAGTTTTGCTCGATAGAGTTTTGGAGATTGCACATTCGTCCTCGTCGTAGCCTCTCCGACGCTTCGTCGTATTTTCGTCTTTCACGGGCTCACGTGCCCCCGTCGTCTGGAGCTTATTTATTTTTTTACATTTATTTTTAATTTTAGCGAAAGAAGGAAAAAATGTCCGGAAGTGAAATCGGACGAGTGCGAGAGGGGGAAAGATGATCTCGACGCCGCGTTGTCTGCGGGGGCTGCAGCGATGACGTCAACGCCGATGCTTCTCTGAGTCTCTTCCCCCCCCCCCCCCCCCCCCCCCCCCCCCCCCCCCCCC